TTGTAGATGACAGACTTTCCGTTGATAAAATATATTTTTCTTCCAACTACAGTGGTTGGAGAGCATTCTGTCAACTGCATTATGGAAAAGATCAGGAGAAGAAAGGCAACTTATCAGTTCAAAATTTGCCCTTCAAGAGTTCCAACCCCTTGTTTGCTTTGCTCTTTGCACTGGCGCTGTTTCCGATCCCATGGTGAGTAGTTGTGTTTCCTCATTGCATTTTTCTTGTATAGATGCACGGGGGCTTGTTTCGATCTCTTGTTAAGTAGTTACATTTTCCCCTTAGATTGTTAATAAAGCAACAATATTTCATTTTGAGGACTTCTTGGAAGATTTGAAGGGAAACAGACTAATTGTATTGCCTAACATATACGAACATCCTAATTATCGAGTACTGTTCTTGGATCATATCTCCGAAAGTGGCCAGCTGACACTAGTTAGAAATCCGAACATCTAACACTTCCTTTGGTTTCTTTCTTTCTTCTTTTCTAGCTGAAAGTGTACACTGCCTCGAACATTCAGGGGGAGCTAGAAGCAGCAAAGAAAGAGTTCCTACAGGCTAATATCATAGTAAAGAAGTCGAAAAGAGTATCTTTGCCTAAGGTTCTTGAAAGATACGCGAAGGAAGCTAGTATTCCATCCGATGATCTTCTTGGTTGGGTCATGGAAAACGTTGAAAAGAAGCTTCGTGATTCCATACAGAAATGTATTGACAGAAGAACCAATAAAAAGGCGTCTCAGATAATCGATTGGCTACCTTACTCTTCAAGATTCCAATATGTAATTTCGAAAGATTTTACGGAGAAGCCATGGTGGGGATAGTAGTCCTGAATGATGTAGACCAACAAGAGAGAGTAAAGGGTGAGCTAGAAAGGCCTAACTAATTTTCGGAAATGGTTGTTCATTCCTTCAGTTTGTAGGATTCTGATTTGATCTGTTATTAAGTGAATGTACATTGACTTCAATTACTTAGGTATCCAACTTTTAATTTGTGAAGTACAAGTTATGTGTAAATATTAGGTGAACTGATACACCTTATGCTACTGCTACTGCATTGTTTTGTCTAGTTTCTGACCTGTCACTGATGCATAGGTCTTCTTTACTTTACGGACTTTTGATTATGATGCATCATGAACGTGTCAATATGTGATCGGGGTGAGCAGTGGTTAGATATAGGAGTGGCTTCGCCGCCTTGGATTGGAAGGAAGGGCTTCACTTTCCGATCGTTTTTTGAGGCCAGTTTAGATGAGTGTGGGCAAGTTTGGGAGTCACTATCGATTTTCGCTGGTAGGGCCTCATCCCTTTGTCACTTAAAGGGTGAAGTCGTTGAAGCGTTTATAAGGGAGTGAGAAAAAAGAGACTTAGAGAAAACCTTCGAGGATACGATCTAGTGGTCAAGAGATTACAAATGAATTTATTATAAACTTTACTGTTGGAGAGAAGAAGTATTTATTTTATTAATATGTATGTGTATTTATACAAGAGAGCAAACTACAAATAAGGAAAGAATCAACTACTAAAGGATTGTGATCTTCACCTAATTATAATAGAAACTAAATCACTAATGAGATACTAAGATATGGAATATCAATCAAGAGATATCACTAATATGCCCCCGCAAGATGGTAGATCGGTCTGATATACCAATCTTGGATCTTAGTGCTTCGAATGGAGCTTTTGGAAGCGGCTTGGTAAGAAGATCAACCAGCTGATCTTGGGATGAAACATGAGAAACACGCAGCAAGCCTTGTTGGCAGAGATTTCGAACAAAATGACAATCAATCTCGATGTGCTTCATTTTGGAGTGAAAAACTGGTTTAGCACACACATAGGTTGCGCCAAGATTATCACAATAGATAACGGGCGGTTCCTTGAGAGAAATAGATAACTCCTGAAGCAAATTACGGACCCAACAAATTTCAGCTGATGCTGAAGCAATAGCACGATATTCAGCTTCTGTGGACGAACGAGCAACAGCTCTTTGCTTCTTAGAGCTCCATGAGATCGGATTGGAGCCTAAAAACACAATGTATGCTGTAGTAGAAGAGCGATCATCACGATTACCTGCCCAGTCTGAGTCAGAGAAGGCGTGCAGATTTAGTGACTTGCCTTTGCGAAGAAACAGACCATTAGCAGATGTGCCAGCAAGATAACGAAGAACTCGTTTGACCATAGCCCAATGTATAGTTGTTGGAGCACTTGTAAACTGAGACAATTTGCTTACAACGAAGGCAACATCCGGTCTGGTAAGATGAAGATATTGTAAACTTCCAACTATACTCTGATATTCTTTAGGATCCTCAAGTAAAAAGCCATCACTACTCATGGGACAAGATCCACTTGCCATTGGTGTGCGCATCGGATTAGCTTCAACCATGTTTGCTCGGTCTAAGATCTCATAGATATACTTCTGCTGGCTTAAGAAAAATCCAGAAGGTGAGCGAATAACTTGAACACCCAAGAAGAAATTCAAATCACCAAGATCTTTAATAGAAAAACGATTAGCAAGACACCTAATAAAATCTTCCACCGAACTTTGACGATTACCCGTGATAATTAGATCATCAACATAGACAATGAGATAGAGCATAACTCCAGATTTAGCATATATAAACAAGCAGTGATCTGACTGAGAGTGGCAAAATCCATATGAAATAAGATAGGATTTGAGTTCCTCATACCATGCTCGTGGAGCTTGTTTAAGCCCATAAATTGCTTTGTGAAGCCGACAAACATGAGTGGGATATGTCTCATTCACAAACCCAGGAGGTTGAGACATATAAACTTCTTCGGTTAGAGTACCGTGCAAGAAGGCGTTGTTAACATCTAATTGGCGAAGTGGCCAGTCAAATGTGGCAGCCAATGAGAGAATAACACGCACTGTGGTATGCTTTGCTACTGGAGAATATGTTTCACCATAATCAACACCTGGACGCTGCAAGAAACCTTTAGCAACAAGTCGAGCTTTATAGCGGCTAATACTTCCATCTGAGTTGTATTTAACTCGAAAAACCCACTTAGACCCTACGGGTTTAGCTTGATGATTTGCAGGTACAAGAGACCATGTGCCTTGACTCTTAAGAGCTGATAACTCTTCATTCATGGCAGCACGCCATTTAGGATCTTTTAATGCTTGGCTAACACTCCTAGGCTCAATAGGTTTGAGTATTGAATTGAAAGAAACCAAGGATCTGGTAGGCTTGGATTTACAATGGGAATTTGAGGAGGTGGCTTGCAATTTAGAAGGTTGTGCAGCAGGGGATGATTCAGCTTTAGAAGATAAAGTAGCATTGAGACAAAGTCTTTGAATTGGCTTACTAATATTGTTTTTAGAACGGGTAACCATGGAGTGATTTGGTATAGGGGCAGAAGAAGGAACGGATGAAGTGGAATGGGTTGGCACTGATAATGAGGATGAGGAAGCAGAGGTAGAAGATGATGTGGAAGAAGACATACCTGGGAAAGATGTGATGGAGTTCTCAGGCTCATCTGATGAAGACCGATTGCTGGTGGCAACCTCATGAGAGATACTTCCTGAATCCGATGTTGAAGATATAGCATGAGAAGAGTTACTAGATGGGCTTGATGTAAAAGGAATAATGTGATGAGAGGGAACCCATATATCAACAGTGTTAGACTCAGGACGATTGGCCTTAATTTCCATAGATGAGTATGGAAAATGATGCTCCACAAAGTCCACGTGTCTGGATACATATAACCTAGACTTCACAGGATCAAGACAAAGATAAGCACTTTGATTTTGTGAGTATCCAAGAAAAATACATGGGCTGGAACGAGGTTGCAATTTATTTTGGTTATAAGGCCTTAACCAGGGATAACACAAACAACCAAAGACCCGAAGCTTGGAATAGTTTGGTAGTTTGCCATACAGTCGAAAATAGGGAGACTGGTTCTCTAAAATTTTGGTAGGTAAACGATTGATCAAGTAGGCTGCGGTAGTAAAGGCATATGACCAAAATTTTAAAGGGAGACTCGCATTGTGTAATAGGGTGATACCTGTTTCAACAATATGGCGATGACGACGTTCAGCGGTTGCATTATGTTCAGGGGTATGTGGAGGAGTGAGAAGGTGAGAAATCCCATTGTCTTCAAAGAAGGATCGAAGGTGGATAAATTCGCCACCATTGTCAGAATAGAATGAGATGATGGGCTTTTGAAAAAGCTTTTCTACAACTTTCTTAAATTTGGGAAATATAATGGATACATCAGATTTTCGTTTTATGGGAAAGAACCAGATGTATTTCGTGTAATGATCAACAAATATTAAATAATATTGAAAACCATCTATTGAAATTTCTGGTGAAGGACCCCAAACATCCGAAAAAATGTATTCCAAAGGAGCATTGCTCTTTATTGTAGAGTTGTAGAAAGGAAACTTATGCATTTTACTGCATTTACACGAACTGCAAAAGAAGGATTTTTCTAAAGAAGATGAAATAGCTAAAAGCTTGAAACCTTGACGAAGAGTGGGAGAGGACGGGTGACCGAGACGTCGATGCCAATTGGAAGCACTTGCGGTTGTGGTGGTGGTGAGGGCTTGAGGAGAGGTTGGCGATCGAAGAGATGAAGGCCATGAATAAACACCGTTTTTAGGTTTCCCTGCTAGTAGAGGCGCCCCCGTGCAAAAGTCCTTCACAACAAACGAATAAGGTGAGAACGTGACAGAGACAGAATTATCATTACAAAGTTGATGAACAAAAATAAGGTTCTTTTTCATCTTAGTCACACATAAAACATTGGATAAAGTTAAAGGCCGAGAAAATGAAGGTAAAGAAGCAAATCCTGTATGGGTGATTTTGTGTTATTTACCATCACCGAGCATAATGTCTTCAGTGCCATCATAATCTGAGTGAAGGGACAGATTGTGGAGATCTTGTGTGACGTGATGCGAGGCACCAGAATCAACAAGCCAATTTCCATCATTGCTAGTGTTGTGAGTTGCATAGTTAGCATGTGACTGTTGTGATTGAGACGGAGCATTATTTCTTGTATGTCCATCGGATCCAGATCCATTGATTTAGAGAGAGAATCGCTAATAATTTTCGGCATTGCTTCACGTGATGACCAGGCTTGTCACAAAGTTGGCAAGTAACACGAGGACGGTTTCTGTTGGTGTTTTGACCAGCAAGTTGAGCACCAAAATTGTTGGAAGCAGGTCTATCCGTAGGATTCAAGTTGTTTCCAGGACGTGAAGCATGATTGGGCCGAGAGCGGTTGTTGTGAAGCAATGGTTTAGCAGCAAAATTTGCTGTGATTGGAACTGTGGTAGAGGAAGATGAGCGAATGAGATTCTGCTCAAAATCAAGAAGCTTCTCATGAAGTTCTTCAAATGTCACTGGAGTTTCTCGAGCACGTAGAGCTGCAGTGATAGTGTCATATTCGGCTGGAAGTCCATGAAGAGCATGAAGGAAGAGCTCATCCATTGAAATCTGAATGCCAGCACAAGCTAAAGTGCTGCAGATTTGTTTGATTTTCTGCAGATATGAAGTAATAGAGAGATTACCCTTTTTCAAGTTGCTTAGAGACTCTCTAAGACTCATGATACGAGCACGCGATGGCTTCGCATAGGTTCCCGTCAGATTTTGCCAGAGAGCATAGGAGGATTTGGCATAAATGACAAAGGGAACAATATTATAGGAAGATTTGGCATCAATGACAAAGGGAACAATATCAGAAGATAAAGAGGCAACAATGGCACTCCGAATGAGATGGTCTTGTCGCTGATGAAAAGGAGTGGCTGTTGAACTTGGTGGTTGTTCAATAAAATGGAGAAAATCATATGCAGTGAGGATGGTTTCCCACTGGTATCTCCAGGATTGGTAGTTTGTATTGTCGAGCTTTAGAGGTGCCTGAGCAACAACATTGATATTGATCAACTGCTCATTGCTATTCATGGTGAGAATTGTGGGAGAATTTGGTACAGATACAGGAGAAGATGTAGCTGGGGTGTTCTCAGTGGAGGCAGTGGTTGAAACCATTGTTAGTGGCAGCGGAAAAGACACAAATTCTCAAGGGAAAAAAATAAATGTTGTTAAGCTTTTAGGCTCTTGATACCATATAAACTTTACTGCTGGAGAGAAGAAGTATTTATTTTATTAATATGTATGTGTATTTATACAAGAGAGCAAACTACAAATAAGGAAAGAATCAACTACTAAAGGATTGTGATCTTCACCTAATTATAATAGAAACTAAATCACTAATGAGATACTAAGATATGGAATATCAATCAAGAGATATCACTAATATTTATGAGGTTGAAAATCTTATTGTTCAAATTTGAACTTAAAAATTGCTTCTTTAGAGAGTGTTTGGATAAATTTATACATTGGCCAAACTAGTTTATAAATACTTTTTGATTTGTTCGCGTCTGTTGGTATACAACAAAAGATTTTTTAAGCTAAAATCATAAATTGGTCTCACTCATATGATTTTTCAGTTTATAAACATTATCAGTTGATGGCATATTATACTATTCTATCCTTAAATATATTTTGTAATCTCTAAAATACTTTTTGCCCCCAACAAAATCTCCAATCCCCTCTTCTATTTCCACAATTTGCAATTCTTCATGTAAAAATACTTTCAAAATTTATATATTCTTGAAAATAACGTTAATAACATTTAAATCATTTAACATAAAAGGTGTTTATCAACATTCTTTTTTACCTAATATATTTCAATTGCTTACTACTATCAATTTTGGTACTTTTATCCAAAACGTAATGATTTTTAATCATAAAATCAATTTCAAACATTTAAAAAGTGTTTTTCAACATTTGATGCCTATTAACTAGTTTTAATTAGCTAACTAAACAGACTCTTAATCTTTTTTATCTTAGGTTCTTTCTTGTCGTATTTTATGCATAATCAATATAAATATAATTTTAATTTGATTTGCTTATGGAATCCGCATGGTCCACGGGAGGGTGGGGGACCATTTGCCATTTTATGGCATTAATATCTAATTAAAGATAAAATGTTTTTGTATTTTTTACACCAAAAAATGTTTTCTAAAAATATTTTTTATCCCCAAATTTGAAATATCATATTCTTACGCAATTTATAGAGTTCAACAAACAATCGATATTTCTAGAGTCTAGAGATTGTGTGCTCTTATGTTAGTTGTTAAGCATTAATTGTATGGTCCAAAAAGAATTTTAATCTTGGTAAGCATATTAATACTTCTTTTTGCCAAAAATAATAATGAAGAAAGTGATATTTATGTCTTCGATACATTTGCTTTCTTTCATTTTGTTTCTTTCGAGTCAACAGTGAGAAATATATCTAAAATATTTTGATTTTTATGTTTGAACTAACATGTTTGAGTTTCGTACATGAACTATTATCGATTATTTATCAAAATCACATTTAACCGTCAATCTTTCAAATAGAAAAAGTGAACAACTGATAGTTGAGGTATGTTTTTAATAAATAGTTAATGATAATTCAGATTAAAATCTCACACACACTTAATAGTTTAGATATGAAATTAAAAAAAGAATTATATGTATTTTTATCCATTAACTTTTTTTTTTTTTCAAAGAGCAAAAGTGCAAATTAATTTTTAGTTCACCGTGGCCCATCACCTAAAATAGAAAAGGTAAAAAAAAAGAATATTTATTCCTCAACTTCATATGCCTGCCATGTTCTTTCGTACTCCCTAAGTTTCTTTCTTAGTCAGTTTAAAAAAAGCTTTTTTTTTTTAAATAAAAAAATTAGCAATTTCTTAAGCATAGCTAAGATCGTAAAATTAAATATCCTCCATTTATACTTACTTGTTTATATTTAACTTGACACACCCTTTAAAAAACAATAAATAAATTGTTTTTTTTCTTCAAGACTGACCATACATATCAATGCTCTAAAATAAGAACTTTGGGATAGAGAAAAGAATCACTCATGAACTGTGAAAGAATCCGAAGTCAAAAGGTAAAAAAATTAGGTAAAAAATTCAAAAGGGCAACAAAAATAAGTTTGTAACCAAAAGGGTAACATTTAAATTGTAGGTTAAACGTCGTGTAAATTAGGGTAGCAAGGCACAATTATCACCTATTCATATACACTACCATTTGTTAGCTACAAATAGAAGAGTTTCCTCTCATTTTTAAACTACAAATTTTTAAAGTTTTCTACTATTCTTCTTCTTAAAAAGTCTCAAAGTGTGATTTGCAACAGTTGAATAAATTCGAAGTTCAACGAAATTTCAAGTATCACGTAAGAAAGAATTGGTGAAAAAAATTGTAGCAATCATTCATCAATTTGCACTTGTATTTTTCTCCTACGATTTACATCACACACATACTTCAATATTATTTATATCATTTTAAATATTAATACTAATTAGTATGAGATACGTATGCAACACACGTGTTCGACAATTAGTACTATATATAAACCCATATTAAATTAATAGTATATAACCCTCAATTAATATTACATGTATTCCAACACAAATGACCAAATTTTGAGATATTCGAAATTCATTTGGTCACATTTAATGTTCACGATCTCAATAATGTAACGGCTAAAACGAGAATCACAAAAATAATGATCACTAATTATATAAATTTTCTCACTTTCTCACTATTGTCGTCATTCGAAACACATGAATACACACGTTATCATATTTGTTCTCTTCTGAAACTATTTAAATTATTGTTAATATCAATTTATTCTCTACTAAAATTGTACAAGTTATTGTTATTATTGATTTGTTCTCTACTTAAATTGTCAAGTTATTGTTATTATCTATTTTTTTATTGAAAATGTTCAAGTTATTGTTATTATTGATTTATTCTCTACTAAAATTGTTCAAATTATTATTATTATCAATTTGTTCTTTATTGAAACTATTCAAGTTATTGTTAATACTAATTTGTTCTCTCGTTATATAAATTTCCTCACTTTCTCACTATTGTCATCATCTAAACATAAGAATACACACATTGTTTTATTTGTTCTCTACTGAAACTGTTTAAGAATTTGTAATTATTGACATATATACTTCAATATTATTTATATCATTTCAAAATATTAATACTAATTAATATAAGAAACATGTGCAACACATGTTCGAGAACTAGTACTATACATACACATGATTAATAGTATTATATAACCCACAATTTTAATAGTACACGTGTTCCAACATAAACGACCAAATTTTGAGGTATTCAAAATTCATTTAGTCACATTTTATGTTCATGATCTCAATTATGTAATGGCTAAATGAGAATCACAAATATAATGATCACTAGTTATATAAATTTTCTCACTTTCTCACTATTGTCGTCATTCGAAACACATGAATACACACGTTATAACATTTGTTCTCTACTGGAACTGTTCAAATTATTGTTATTATTGATTTATTTTCTACTAAAACTATTCAAATTATTGTTATTATTGATTTGTTGTCTACTGAAATTGTTCAAGTTATTGTTATTGTTATTGTCTATTTGTTTTTTTTTACTGAAATTGTTCAAGATCGATTTATTCTCTACTGAAACTGTTCAAATTATTAGTATTATCAATTAGTTTTCTATTGAAACTATTCAAGTTATTGTTATTACTAATTTGTTCTGTGGTTGTATACATTTCCTCACTTTCTCACTATTTTCATCATTTGAACACATGAATATACAATACATTGTTATATTTGTTCTCTACTAAATCTGTTTAAGATTTTGTTATTATTGACACACATACTTCACTATTATTTATATCATTTTAAAATATTAATACTAATTAGTATAAGATATATACACGTGCATCGCACGTGTTCGAGAACTAGTACTATATATAAACACATGATTAACAACATATAACTCACAATTAATAATATACGTACTCCAACAGAAACGGTCAAATTTCGAGATATTCGAAATTCATTTAGCAACATTTAATGTTCACGATCTCAATTATGTAACGCCTAAAACGAGAATCACACACACAATTACCACTAGCTGTATAAATTTTCCCACTCTCTCATCCAAAACACATGAATATACACGTTGTCACATTTGTTTTCTATTGAAACTGTTCAAATTACTGTTAATTTCGATTTATTATCTATTCAAATTGTGCAAATTATTGTTATTATTGATTTGTTCTCTACAGAAATTGTTCAAGTTATTGTTATTGTCTATTTTTTTCTTCTGAATCTGTTCAAATTATTGTTGTTATCGATTTATTCTCCACTGAAACTGTTCAAATTATTATTATTATTATTATCAATTTGTTCTCTACTGAAACTATTCAAGTTATTGTTATTACCGATTTATTCTCTAGTTGTATAATTTCATCACTTTCTCGCTATTGTCATCATCTGAACATATGAATACACACATTGTTATATTTGTTCTCTGCTAAAACTGTTTAAGATTTTGTTATTAAAGATTTTTTCTCTACTGAAATTGTTCAAGATTTTGTTATTATCGATTTGTTCTCTACTGAAACTATTCAAGTTATTGTTATTATTGATTTGTTCTTTATTGAAACTGTTCAGTTTTCGTTATTGTCGATTTGTTCTCTATTGAAACTGTTCACGTTATTGTTATTATCGATTTATTCTCTATTGAATTGTTTAGGTTATTATTTTATCAATTATATTTTCCGTTCACCGACCGAAAATATATTAAATATTTTCTTCCTCTTTCTCATTTTCTCAATTACTTAAATTTGATTATTTATCTTATTATTTCCTTTACACTCACATATCAAGGACTAACAAACTTATAGATTAATTACGTTGTCAATGATCTCATTCTTAATAACCGATTGAACTAACAAATAAATTTTAGCCTTAGTAATGTACAGTAAAAATCTTTGTTGATCCGAATACCAATTAAATGCAAGAATTATGAATTGTAAAAGAATGACATTTTTAAGACATACTAAAAATATGGTACATAAGAGCCTACTTGGATGAGATTACAGTAATAAATCACAAATTCTAATTTATAACCTTTGACTTATTTTTTTAAATTTAAAATAAGTGTTTAAATTTCTTATTTTATTCAAACACTGTAAAATTGCTTAAAAGCCATTTTGATTTAAATAATAAGTAGATCCAAACACGCCCTGATTTGGGTAAGAGAGTAATAACAAGAAACTAATGATTAAACTCTCGTTTGATTGTAAATTTGAGATTGAAACTTGAAATCGTATTTGAACATGCATTATACTTTTGATTTTTTTTGTGAATAAAAATAAAATTGAAAATTTTCCCCAAAAACTTGAAAATAATTTTTTATGACAAAACAGATATTTATATTTATTTAATTTAATATATATTTCCAAAAAATCGATCCACTGGCTAAAAAAATCTATTGGTTAACTCACCTGCTTGTGACTTTAAACAACCGCCGGGTGCTTAAACCAAAGAACAACACGTCACACTGCCTCCAAATATAACCAAAACCAATAAGATAATGCCACCTCACTATATTCCCTTCTTTTTTTTCTTCTTAGATTCAGCCCTACTATTCCTTATTATTCACATAAATCACCCCAAAACTTCACAAAATTAACATCACCTTTGATATTTGACCCTAGTTAATCTCTAGTTATTTACACAAAACCCCTCACTTCTTCATAATTTTATCTTCTCTTTGAAATATACAAGATTTTATTTTTATTTTTTTATTTCCATCGAAAAGTCTCATGAGGGATAAAATGCTCCTAGCAAAAGTGATTCCATATACAAGTGGACTCTAACTCAAGATCTCTTGATTACGTAGTTTGTTTATAATTTTTTTTTAAATTTTTATAAAATATCTTCATTTATATATATTTTGGATAAGCGGTCGAAAAAATCTTAATTTATCAAAAAAAATAACACATTTTCACACACTAGCACACCATTTAGTCGCACGTAGAGATAGACACACTTTATTATTTTGTACATATAAATAAGCTTTATTGTACACTTGATTTCAGTAATTTTTCACTTCCTTCACTTTAATATCTTTCTTTGTTCGTTAAAGGGTTGTGGAGGTTTCAGGCGGAGAGATTTCTTCTTCCGGCGACGTCGTTTAGGTGTTGTTGTGTGGTTGGATTATCGAGGATTTAGGGTTAGGGTTTGTGGATTTGGGAGTTGAGTGAAACCCTAGATGTTATGAAGCATCGAGTAGCCGTATCGTTGGGGTTGAGTTGATCGACGGTCGAGATCTCGTCACCGGATGGAGGGAGGTAGCGTCTCTACACTTACTTATTCTGGTACTGTTCATTTCCTCAGCCGTGTTAATTTTTATTTTTTGACCTGTTGTTTTCATCGACAGTAAATGCAGGTGTGTGACTTGTTAGATTGAGAGTTTTTTTTGGTGATTTTTGTGGTGATTTGCTAATTTGGGTTGTATAAAAGATTGTCCTTTTTTGGTTTTACATAGATAAAGAAGAAGGGTAGTTTGTAAGAGTTGAACGTCAAGCTCAGGTTCAAATCCCATCAGAGACGGAAACACGAAACACTAGGTGTTTCTTCTTATTTGTCCTAGCGATGGTGGAGAGAGTTACTTGCTACCTGTTGTAGGTGGATGGTGGCGTTAGTTGAGGTGTGCGAATGCTGATCCAGACACCACAATTATAAAAAAAAAAGTTTCTTTCTTTTGGTCTGTACCTAGGTAGCATGAAGTGCAGCGTTAGCTACATTTCAATCCCACATTAGTTACCTTGGCTAGTAGAATTCTTGATATCCAGTTAGCTCTATTTGAACCTATTCCAATACTCATTTCTATGTTTAAGACAAAGGGGTCTTTAGCCAGATGCTTTTCACAACCGACTACAAATTTCTAGTCAAACTAGAAAGATTCTTGGGAAAATGGGGCCTTTTTCTTTTTATGTAGCATCTTATCCTGAATTTTTGTCTATTTCTAGAGGTTTTGTTTTGAAGTAGTCTCTCCTTGTAAAACATTTAATTGAGGTAGGAGGACTGAAATAGACTTGTGTATTCGTGAACTCGTGTTTAATTTTTTTAGATAACACCCTTTCTTTATAGAGCAATTTTCTGTAGTTCTAACCTTGATGACTTCCTTGCTAGTTTATCGACTTCCTTAGGTTTGGGCGGCTCTATATCAATCTTTCCCTCTCTCTCTTCCTGATTAATCTTGGTGCCGTTAGTGTAATAATATATTGACTTTATGACACAAAATAGTGCAAAATTATATTGGCTGAATAAAAAAGAGGGTAATCGAGTCATAGGTTATAGTTTTAGAGTTGGGCCTGAAGGTCAGGTTATATGCCAATCAATGTTGCTAAAGGCTCGCTTAAAGTGTGCTTAACACCTGAAACTTGGCGAAGTGCAGGTTATGCACTTGTATTTGCTTATATATTTTATGATTATTTATCAATTATGGTTTTTCATTATTTTGTCCAAATAATCCAAGCTGTAATTACACTTGAAGTTCCAAGAGAAAGTTGTCGCATTTTTGTGCTTTTCACTTTTGGCTATTCTGATGCCATTTTATAAGTACAACCACCATATCTATAAAAACAAGTACAACCTCAACATTTGGCTTTCCAGTTTATTTTCTTGGAATATTTGGATGGCTTTAGGAGGAAAATCTTTTGACATATATGAATTCTTTTATTAGTCCTAACTAATTGGTTTTGCTGTCCAGGGATATACAGATGGATTACAATGACAATGATTATCAAAGTCATTTAGCTGGTGAAGACAGCTCCAAAGTTTCCTCTGTTTTGCATCCCTATGCTCTTCCCAAGTTCGATTTTGACGATAGTCTTCAGGGGCATTTAAGATTTGACAGCTTAGTTGAAAACGAGGTTTTCCTTGGTATCCCCACTCAGGAAGACAATCATTGGATTGAGGATTTTTCTCGGGGAAGTAGTGGAATAGAGTTCAGTTCAAGTGCTACCGATTCTTGCTCCATACCAAGACGTAATAATGTCTGGTCTGAGGCAACATCCACAGAATCTGTTGAAATGTTATTGAAATCGGTTCGTCAGGAAGAAATGGTTCCAGGGGACACTATTATTGAGGAGTCAGATGCTGGAAATGAATTGGGTTGCTTAATCCAGCCAGCAGAATCTAGTTTGAAGTTGGATGATAAAAGAGATGATGTTAAAGACTCTAGCTCAGCAGCACCAGCGGATGAGTCAGTTGAGTTTAGTGGTTCGTTTTCTAGGTGTGAGAGAACAAAGATAGAAGGCATTCATATTGTATGTGCTCCAGAAAGGCAGGAGGTGGAACCTATTGCTGATGGATGTTCTGACATTGCTGGTGAGACATATTCTGGTTTTAATACTGAGGAAAAGTTACAGACTGAAATAAAAAGCATTGATGAAAATTTAGGGGAAGTTAAGACATCACTAAGTGAATCTCTACCCGATAATTCTAATAGGCAACCATCCATTCCTGTAACTGAAAGTGCAATTAAGGAGTGCCTTACAGATTCTCTTTCTGCGAGTATCGAGATTTTGGCTAGTCAGCATAATTCAACCAACTGTGATAGTGGGAATACAAGTGGTCTACCAAGTGAACATCACAAACCAGTAGAGAAACACATATCTGTCAGCAAAGAGTCTAGTTTGGGTGATGGAAAGACGCGTGGATGTGCTGTTGATAGTAAAACTTGTACCTCTAATGCCAGTCCTCCCTCTCTTGCTGCTTCAGAACTGGATGTAGGTGAAGAGCTTTCAACTGAAACCAGAATGATTAAATCAGAGGAACCTCGTGTGCAGAGGAACGAATGCAGTCTTACTACTGAGGGATGCAACGAAGATACTTCTTATGTTGAACATGCTGAAGCGGTTTTCTCAAAAGGCTTGCAAGATAAACTACTGGCTGAAGGTAATAGCATACCATGTGAGAATGAGGAGGCGTCTGGAAGTCAGAATTGCTTAGATACAAGAGACACTAAGAATCAAGAAGGCAGCTCCAAGGGTCAGACAGAGAAGGTCTCTGCAATGCAGATGTCAGATGGACTGACTACTTCTACTGAGAAAGAGGAGAATAATCTGGATGGTCATTCTCCACTTAATCTTGGCACTTCAGAGGTATGTACAGTATCAGAGATCTCCGAGCCGTCAAAACAGAATAATGGTAATGGTATCTATGCTCTAGAAGGTCCGAATAATATACAAGAGACATCTGTTTCTGCTGAACTCGTGGAGAGGCCAGTATCTGAGAATTTAGAAACTGGAAATGATGCTGATAGGGTCTCCGAAGGATATGCATGTGCTGGAGACCACATCTCCTTGTCTGTGCCTGCTGGATCCATGGACATATGTAGGGAAACCTTCTCCCATGTGGTTGATGTTGATACTTCTAATGTGGATGTCACTGGTGGTAAGCATAAGGAGGAAGTGCTGCCTGTAGAAACTGAGATGGTGAGATCTTGTGTGCGTGACCATGAGGTTAGATCCTCTGTGGCAGGAGAATCTGAACAAATCTCTGACCAAGGTCATGGATCACAATTTGAATCTTCCACATTGAATAATCAAGGTATTATATTCTATTTCTCATATTAGTGCTTAATTATTGTAGGCGGGCCGTGTTCCAGAAATTGGTCTTTTAACACCCTTTGTTACTTACTGTTACTTGGTGTGGCTTTGCAGCATCAGATGTTGGTTTTGACGGTAGGAACTTAATCTTAGGTGGTGACCCAGTGAGTGGTCCGTCGCTTTCTGGTAGTGGTGCGATTGCAACTGAAATAGTTGATAACGATGAAAAGCTGAAGCCAGTGTCAGTAATGGGAGGGTCAGATCATTTTGCAGGAAAGAAAGAAATGGAAGCTGTTCTAAGCAGGGAAGCAGAAGTGTCAACACTGAAGGAGTCTTCTGAAGGGGCAGGCCAGCTAGGTCCCCTTTCCAACGATGGAAAAGATGCAGCTGGTGACTGCCATATGGAAATAAAACCTATGATTGTTGATCAGGATGTTCTTATTCAGGATAATTCCGATTCAGCAAGCCACATTGAGCAAGCAGCAAGTGCTGAAGCAAATATTGAGGGTCCTGGTGCTAGAGCTGAGGCAGCCCCTATTGCAAAGAATCAGGAGATGAAAGTAGAAACAATGAAGTTGGGTAAAGTTGGAGGTTTGTCATCTATTTCTTGCACTCGTAATTATACCATTGATCTGTTGGTTGCTCACTGATGATCATTTATTCTTGAAAGTGGGCTTATTTAGTTGGTGTTTGGATTGGCTTAATGAAGTGATTTTTGGCTTTTAAGCTCTTTTTTAGTGTTGGAAGTGTTTGGGCAACACAAAAAGTGCTTCTAAGCATTTTTTTAAGGCCGAAAAAGTTTTTAAAAAAGCCAAAAGTTGGGTGTTCCCAACTTTTGACTTTTAGCTTATAAGCCACTTAAAAAAGCCCATCCAAACACCACCTTAGTTATATACTGTATACTTGTCTCCATCTTCTCTCAACTTCCTCTGGACCGTGGTTCTTCAATTTGTAAGTTCTGCTTTTTAATTCGCCCTGTCATATGTACCACAACTTTTTTCTTGGACTGAACTGTAGTAACAAACTAGTTTGCTAAGGAATTATTTACAAGCTAATTTTTCCTCTCATTTCATTAGCGGTACTTCAGTATGTAAATATTCTTTTTAAATTCTCCCTGTCGTATGTACCACAACTTGTTTGGACTGAAGCGTAGTTACAAGCTAGTTTTCTAAATAATTTTTTTTCAAGCTAATTTCTCCTCTCATTTCATTTGGAGCGAACTTGTAGTTGGTGAACATTATGGGCTTCTTGGTCAAGTACTGAACCATTATCTTTGTGTGCTGAAAAGCATGACATAAGCAGTAGTGTGTGTTTGCTTTCATTGGCTGCTTTGTGGCCTGAGAGATCCCCATTTATTCTGGTACTGCAGATGATTATTATACTGACTGGTCTCGGTCTCATATTCTATAGGAAATATCTCTGTCATCATATATGTGGTGTGTAATAAACATATGAAAGCGCATGAGTATACTTGAGCAATGTTGAACTAGTGCAAGGCTGTTCATCTTGTCACATCACACACAATTATGATACCGAAAAGATTTGTAAAAGAAGGAAATAAGAAGAAAAGGACTTTGAGCCTATGTTATGTTTTTGAAATTGTAGAATGTCTCTTGGTCAAAAAGGGGCTGAGAGTAGATGAGGGTATGATAGTTTAGATAGAAACGAGCAAAAAGAGCAATGTCTGGGTTGAGTCCAATATAATGATACATAGTAGCAAATTGCATGAAAAAGTCTTAAATGTCAGTTGCAATTTTGGTAGCATTCAAAAATAAAAGGCCTTCTAATGAACGAAAGAATTTTGAAATGATTTAGTTTCCTTTGCAGTTGAGGGTAGTTCTGATGTTATTGGTGGACTTAAACATGATTCCACTTCTGTCCTAAGTTATACTGCACTTTCACCAAGTGAAAAGAAAACGACCCCGAGTAGAAGTAGAGCTGTAGTTGAGAAGGTTGCTCCCCTTGTCGATACAACTGAAATTGGTGGTATAGTGCTGTCCACCTCCATAATTTCAGGAGAAAAAGCTTCCACTAAAACAGATAGGAGCTTTACTTTTGATGTAAGTCCATTGGCTGCTGGTAGTGCCAAGGGAGAAGCTGACAAATCAATCACCAGTACTCAAGCCTGCCAACCAACTGAGGTCTGCTTTCTCTTCTAATGTCGTATAATTTAGTTGTGTATTGTGCTTCTTACAACTCCTCAATCTGTTCTAACTTTCTCAGTCTGAATTGCAGTTGAAGGCTGGGGATAGACTGCATTTGACATCTGGCAGCAAGCAAACTGATACTAAGATCATGCAGAAAATTTCTCATGGTAGTCCCCTGGTACCTGATAAAGGGACTCCGTCTGGGGGTGCTAAGGGTGATCGCAAGGGAAGACGTGGCTCAGGGAAATCAGGTAAAGAAAACCCTAGAAAGGGAAGCCAATTGAAGGAGATAAACTCATCGAAGCAGTCGGATAGAGGAGACAATTCTTGTGGTCAGTTTAGCCCCTCTGTGGCTGTGCAAAAAAATCAATTTGAAACTGGAACTGGAACTGCTGAGCGCAATATTACAAAGTCCAGCGGGGTTGTTTCCTTTCCAACTTCAAGTTTACCTGATTTAAACACTTCTTCTGCATCCGTATTGTTTCACCAACCTTTCACAGATCTACAACAAGTGCAACTGCGAGCTCAAATTTTTGTTTATGGGTCTCTGATGTGAGTCTGATTTTCCATTTTCTGATTTTTTTATGCATATGTGCTGGTAGCTATCGAGGAGAAAATAAAACCCAAGTAGTGTAAGCGCCAAATTCGCCTCAATGGAAAATTGGTAGAACATGTTGGCTTTAACTATGACTTTGTATTATAGATGGGTAGAAATGTTTTTTTTTTGGGGTGGTGGTGGGGGTGGGCTGACAAGAGGATGAGAATTAGCATAATAACTTTCATACTACCTACCTCTTTCTATACGACTATACCAAATCTGCTTAGAAGGAAGCTATAAAAGAAATGAATAGAGGAGATTCAACCTTTCTAAAGAAGAAGGAAGTGATTCAATTTCACAGATTTGAAGGAGATAATAAGAAAGAGAATGAAAATAGTTATGTATAGTGATAGTAAATACTTGAAAGTAATAATTTTCCCTTTCTCCCAATATTGGTTATCGTTCAAAAGTTTGAGTATTCCTCAAGACGTTGTTCTTTTGGTTCAAGGTAAGAGAAAACGACCACCTTTTTGGTGGGTGTTTCAGTTGGTCTAATTCATTCATGTTGTAAGACCACTATTGTGTTTGATTTTGTTGCTTTTCAAATGGTTGCTCCAGACAAGGTACAGCACCGGAAGAAGCTTGTATGGTTTCAGCTTTTGGGACAGCTGGTTAGTTTGCTAGCTTCACGTAGTTATATTTCATGTTTTTTTTTTAAAAATTTTTGGACATGTGATTAGTTACTTGAGATACTCTGCAGATGGATGCAGAAGTCTTTGGGACCCTGCATGGCGTGCTTGTGTTGAAAGGATTCATGGACAGAGATCTCGCTCTGTAAACAATGAAACTCCATCTCATCCACGTTCAGGTAGTTGAACCTCTTGATTTTTTTCTTTCATGTTATGGTGCTACTGATTGTACTTAAGAAGTGAGAATTGCAGGTCCCAGAACTCCAGATCAAGCAAACAAACAGGCCGTGCATCAAAATAAGGTTACTACTTCGGCAGCCGGGCGAGCAGGCGGCAAGGCTTCCAATTCACCTGCTGTTAGTCCTATGATACCACTTTCATCCCCTCTTTGGAATATGGCTACCCCTTCCCGTGATGGGCTATCATCCGCTAGAGGAGCCCTGATTGATTATAAGGCACTTCCTTCTATGCATCCCTATCAGACTCCCCCAGCACGAAATTTTGTGGGGCACACTGCCTCTTGGCTACCACAAGCCCCTTTTCCTGGTCCCTGGGTTGCTTCTCCACAAAATTCTCCATTTGATATTAGTGCACAGCCTCCTGCATTGCCTGTTACAGAGTCTGTGAAATTAACCCCGGTAAAGGAGTCATCCTTATCGATTTCTGCTGGTGCAAAGCATGCACCGCCTGGTTCGGTGGCTCATGCTGGGGATAGTGGTATCCAGTCTGGAGCTTCTCCGCATGACAACAAGAAGGCCCCAGTGTTGCCTGCTCAGTGTTCAGCTGATCAGAAATCCAGAAAGAGAAAAAAGGCATCTGGTACTGAGGATCGTATCCAAAAATCTAAGCTTGGCACCTCTTTTGAATCAGTTACTGCCCCTGTCATTTGTACTCAGTTATCAAATAAGGCTCCTGCATCTGATGACTTTGGCCAGTTATCATCAATTGCTGTGGCACCGTTGGTTGCTCATAGCCAGACAGGACCTACATCTGTTCCCATAATTGGGGGCCATTTTTCTACATCAGTTGTCATCGAACCACCTTCTAGCTCTGCACCTAAAAACAATTCTGATATACCAATCACCTCCGCCCCATCTTCCACTGAGCTCTCTAAGAGAGAGCTTGATTTAGGAAAAAAGACTCCAACTTTGGAATACTTGAGCAAAGTTGAGGAGGCTAAGCTGCAGGCAGAGGAGGCTGCTGCAAATGCTACTGCTGCAGTCAGTCACTGCCAAGATGTGTGGAGCCAGTTAGACAAGCACAAACACTCTGACTTGGCATCAGATGTTGAGTTTAAGCTGACATCTGCTGCCGTTGCTGTAGCAGCTGCTACTTCTGTTGCAAAGGCCGCAGCTGCGGCTGCTAAGCTTGCATCAAATGCTGCATTGCAAGCTAAACTGATGGCGGATGAGGCAATGAAATCATTTGGTGTGAGTAATCCTTCTAAAACCCATGCCGCCTCCTTCCCTAATATTGTGAACAACTTGGGGAGTGCCACCCCTTCTTCTGTACTGAAAAGTCAGGATGTTGACAATGGTTCTAGTTCAATTATATATGCGGCTAGGGAGGCGTCGAGGAGAAGGATCGAAGCAGCTTCAGCTGCATCAAGGCATGCTGAGAATTTGGATGCCATAGTTAAGGCTGCGGAACTGGCAGCTGAAGCTGTGTCACATGCTGGGAAAGTTGTTGCGTTAGTTGATCCTTTGCCTCTGACTCAATTAGTGGAAGGTGGTCCAGATAGCTACTGGAAAGTTCCCCAAACACTCTCTGGGCAGGGTGTCAAGCCTAACAAGGTAAATGGGGATGAATCGGGTATTCCCAATGTCGAAAAGACTCCTGGCATGTTTTCCAAGCAATCTGAGGGTCCATCTGTTGAAGAGATGCATCACATGGTTCCTGCTTGCCAGACTACTAGTGTATCTGGTAATATCATAGAGGACAACATGAGGAATGATGAAGTTACTCAAACTCCTGTTACAGGTGTTGAAAAAGATGTAAGAGGAGTAAAGGGTCATATTATGTCAGAGGTGAGTAAGACTGTCGGCGTAGCTGCTGAGTCATCCCATGATCTGGTTGAAGCATGTGGAGATTTGGCAAGCTCCAGGATGCAAGAGGGTTCCCTCGTGGAGGTATGTTAATAGTAACTTTATCATCTTTTGTCTGCCTCATTGAATGCAAGATACTCACTGTAAGTTCCTTCTTTTAGATAGATAGTTGAGAATTCCCAATATTTTTGTCTCATGGGATTGTATTCTTAGAATTTTGTGCACGTACAGAAGCTATATGTTTAAACTTAAGCTTTTTTTACTTTGTCAATTTATTTGCTGTTATCCATCGTGCTCCATTTTCAGCACTTCAATGCTTATTTGTGTTGTTAATTTACTGATGGTGTAACACATTGTTGGTTTAATTGATTAATAATATCTTTACTGATAGGTTTTTAAAGATAGTGATGATGGTAAGAGAGCCTGGTACTCAGCCAAAGTGTTGACTTTAAAGAACGGAAAAGCTCTTGTTTGTTTCACTGACCACCAGTCTGATGAAGGTAAGATGAAAACGATACATAATTTACAAGTTATTTGATTAGCACTGACGGGTTGATCTTGAGCATTAAATGGAATAGGTAAACTTTCCTTTCTAATTATTCATAGCAATATGGATGAGTGATTCAGTGTTTTGTTTGGATTTTTGGATGCATCTGCTGCTAAAGATAAACCCTATTGTCATGTTGATGCTTGTAAATCTAAGTTTTGCTGATGCTTGTAAGCACTACCACATGGTTGGGGGTTTGAGTCTTTGTGGGAAAGAGGAAATTTTTATCTCTTGCCCCTTCTAAGGGGTAGGGTCTCAGGGCAGTGGAGTTTACCATTTTAAGAAGAATCATCCTCGTTTTTTGGACCTATTGAAGAATAGAACCTATGAAATGCAGAAAAGAACTAGATGATTAACTCTCTTATTCTAACTTTCCACATGATTCAAAAGTCTTCTTTACTTAAACTCTATGCCAAGTCAAAACCAAACAAACCAATTGAAATGGAGGGAGTGTTTGTTATCAATATTTGAAAGTGCATAATTATATTTTTAAACGTAATCAATATATAGTTCAAATAAAAGTAGAAATTAAACATCACATCAATAATATATTGCTCCCTCTTTGACTGGGCATGGAGTTCAAGAAATAAAGGGGGACTTTTGAATCTTGTGGTCTTAAATTAAAGATGTGTATAGTCCTTTAAATCTTGTGCTGTTAAACCTGTCAGGTAGGATGTTTGGAAGTAGGGAACGTACTAAATATAGAATGTGACACTTAAACTGGGACATATTAAAAATGGAAAATATTTTAGGTTTGGAATTAGGGAACGTACTAAACTATGAAATATCTCATTTCAGCAAAGAAAATTGCCTTCATGAGAATCTAATTTTGATGTGACCTGATCCCTGTTTATGTGATGATCCAATATTTTAGGTTGCATATAGAAAATGACTAGGAAGCCAAAAAGCGATGACATTTGTTGTCGTGGGCAAGGACTTTGTGGCTTAAAAAGCTGTTATTGCCTTCCAATCTTTCAGGGCTTGAACAGTTTAAGGACTGGGTACCTCTAGATGCTGGAAGTGATGAACCACCAAGAATACGTCCTGCGCATCCAGTGACTGCTCTGCAAGGAGGAAAAAAGAGACGAAGAGCAGTTGTTAAGGAGCATACATGGTATGTTGGAGATAGAGTTGATGCATGGATCGACTACCGGTAAGATCTACTTATCATATTACTTCGCAATCCCTCCTTCCCCAGTGATTGAGTTCACGTCTAGTTTATGCTTCCTTGGGGCAGTATTGTTTATAATAATTTCTCAGGACAAATTCTTTGATTTATATTTTATGATTTTGTTAGGTTTTTACTTTGCTTGTGAAGTTATAAGAACATTGATACTTTAGCTTTGAATGTCTTGAGGTCTTATTCATCTATCTTCAAACTTAATTGCATGTATCCCAATATGTGGCAAACACTATATGACTTCTTCACGTCAAAACTTCAGATTTTTATCAACTTTGTTCGCAATGTTGTAATAAACATCTTCAAAATCCAGAATGAATTTACATTGTTGAAACAAGAACTTCCAATTCAAAGCACTTTTCATGATAGAACTTGCAATGTTCTTTCGCATTGTGCTTCCCAAAAAATGGAAGCTTCTAATTATTTTCTCTCTTGCACAAGCCCTGGAAACCACCATGGCACCAGTGACCATGGCATCAGTGTACTGGTAAGAGCTCAACATGTCATGTGTTGTACACATGTTTTTGAACCCTGCCACAGACAGAAACACGGTCCATGGGAATTTCTCGGTTATAGATATAATATAATTGAAGGCAGTAATTTATAAAACCTAATTTTTCTGATCTCATTAATTCAAATTGTCAGGTTAAAGGCGGACAAGGAGATCTATATATTTTTTCTTTTGCTTTATAGTTTATTTGATTTTTCAATGTGAATCTTATTTTTTCTACGTCTTGCTTTCTTTTTTGTAAAATGTGTTCTAGCTGGCGGGAGGGTGTCATTGCTGAGAAGAACAAAAGGGACGAGACTACATTTAGTGTCAACTTTCCAGGTATTCTTTTTGTTTTGAGTTTCAATTGTTTCCTGTCATTCCATGCGGTTGATTAAACTGATGAGACTTTTGGGTCATTTCCACAGCTTATGGAGATACTGCAGTTGTCAGAGCATGGCATCTCCGACCAAGCCTTGTATGGAAAGATGGAGAGTGGGTTGAATGGCCCAGATCAAGACATGACTTCTTGTCCCAGGTCTGATGTCTACATACTTTTACTATATTCTTTTTTATCAATTGAGCAAGGATTTGATTTATTCCAGTTGCTTATCTATGATTGTTTATTATTTTACATAAATAGGGTGATACACCTAAGGAGAAGCGAGTGAAGCTGGGCAATCCTGCTAGTGAGGATACTGGAAATGATGGTCTGTCAAAAAAAATGGAACCACTGGTGCCAGTGACAAACGAATCAGCAACATTGCTTCCTTTGTCTGTCACTGAAAAAACATTTAATATTGGTAGTAACAAAGATGACAGTAAGCCCAACACACTTCGAACAATGAGGTCTGGTTTGCACAAAGAGGGATCAAAAGTCTTTGGTGTTCCTAAGCCAGGAAAGAAAAGGAAGTTTATGGAAGTAAGCAAGCATTATGTTTCAGACAGAGCAACTAAGAGTAATGCGGCACCGGCACATGGTTCAGCCAAGTTCACAAAATATTTGATGCCTCAAGCAACAGGCACTGGTGGATGGAAAACCAATTCTAGAACTGATCTGAAGGAGAAACAACAAACTATTGAAGCTCGACGGAAACTTCCTAAACCAAGTAAGCCTCCTAGTTCAGCTAGAACTTTGAAGGATAATAGTATTACATCCACTGGAGATGCTAGTGGAGCTGACCACACGGTAGGTGATGCAATTGAGGATGCTAAGCATGAAGCACAACAGCCTAATGTGGGCAATTTTGTGTCAAATGCGGAAGAAGGGGCTGAAGGTCCCTTGAAATTTCGTTCAGAAGCTCTTCCCACCAACATCCCAAAGAAAGCTTCCACATCATCTAACAGAGGGGAGGGCATGAAGAAGAGAATCCCCATATCCAATTTGAAGTCGAGCAAAATTGAAGTAAAGGACAAAATGATGCCTGAAGTCAATGAACCCCGCAGATCAAACCGAAAGATTCAACCAACATCAAGGGTAAGGCTTCTGTTTGATTTAAGTATACTCAACTCTGAGAGGATGTCACTTTTTTTTTTTAATCAGTAAAAGATAAGTTCATTGATTCAGTAACAAGTGCATGCTGGGATGTATACATCACAGGTTGTATTATGAGCACAAAAAATCAATCATGGGTTTCATATTATTAGTTAAAGCATTGTTGCACAAAAAAGTAAAGAGGGTACATTAGTACATTTAGCTACAAAATTCTTGTGTTTCTTTTGAGCATTTTTTGGGGTTAGTTTTTGTGAAATATTGTGATTGCCTTTTCAAGTATGTTGGTCACAATTACTTCTGTGTGGGTTAAACCAATACTTCTGGGTAATTATATTAACCGACTGCGTAAGAGGACATTAGTTAAGCTAGCAGGTTCTCCTAAATCCTAAAATTAGTTTTCAAGTGATTGGAGTGCCTTTAGGCAGTAAGATATCTTCTGCCTTAACCAATCAGAACTCAATTGAACATAGAAATGCCTATGTCATAAAGAGTCTAAAGCGATTTAGAGACAGTTAGCTTAACCTGTTGTGTTTTTTAAATTTTGATCACCCATGTCTTGCTTGTTTCCTTTCACTTCCTGATATGAAAAGATGGGAAGCAATAAATAATCTTTCATTCATATGGTTATTTTGAAGTGTGTGTTCTTGGTATGCTCTTTGGAAAAGAATGCTGGGAATTTATTGTGTCACTAGTACCTGGCCTCCACCATTATGGTGCCTTTCTTCTCCACTAATTTGGCTACCAAATTAAGATCAAATCAACCCTTTTAAATGTCATCTCCATTGCCAATTGGAACAGATCGCCCTCCTCTTCATGACTGGCATTTATGTTTGCGTATAAATATTCTGCAATAATGGTTTAGATAATTTCTGGGTAAGAACAGATGTTTTAAAATGGTATTTGATTTGTTGCATGCAGTTATTGGAGGGACTACAAAGCTCGTTGATTATCTCTAAGCTTCCATCTGTTTCACATGATAAAAGTAGCAGAAGTCATAGCAGGGGTGCATCAAGGTAAGTTTTGAAATATCTCCCATTTTTTAGGTCCCCTGCTTCCCAGTTATCCGGTCAAAGACATTCACATCCGAGTTCTTTCACCAATTGTTTGCCTCTTCAGTATGTTAGGTAGACCATTGGAAAGCAGGGTTAGTCTTTTGAAAAATTGCTATTTTTTCCTGCAGGTAAATAGTGAAGGGGGAGAGTGCTTTCAAATGTTTCTGCTCAGCCCGGGTTATCATCAAGATGATCAGGATGCCAGTGTTTGATGTTTTCCTGTACATTTAATTATAGAGTTGAAAATTGGGAAAGGGAAGTTCTCACTTCCTGGCTGTAAAATTTAGGCATTAGATGTTCATAATGATTTAGTCCTTTACAGAATTTGTGAAGGACTGTTCTAGCCGGAGTAGGTTGTAAATGGGATTGTCGATGTCAGTTTTTAAAAATTGCTAGAGTTATTCTGAAACAATCTTAATCTTCAAATATTTGCAGCCTTCTCACCCAACAAGTTTTGCAGATTGATGTTTACCTTAAAGACTAGCATGCCGTCTTTTTGTTATGTGATTGTAGAATGCCCTCGAAACAAATTTGTTTCATTTTTAGCACTGATGTCATTACTCTTACGATGAAACATGCTATGTTGTTCTATCATTTGCAAAGACCAAAACTTGCGCAAATGTTAGTTTCTGTGTTAACTAAGTGAATGGTTTATAGATGATCATCTTTGTTTCCTTATTTTGGATCAATGTTTTTTGGCAAATGTTAGTTTCTGTGTTAACTAAGTGAATGGTTTATAGATGATCATCTTTGTTTCCTTATTTTGGATCAATGTTTTTTGGATTGATTTAGGATGTTGCCGCCTTCTTATATTAGAACCCACTGAGAGCCTTGCTCAGAAAATGTAGAGTGGCTGAGCAGTCAAAAGTAACGAGACTCTAAATCTGATACAGTGTAGTATATCTTCACACCAATTTTTCAATAATTAGACTGCCCAATTATTAATCCTTTGGGCCTAAAGTTAACATTCTGACTTTTGTAGTGTGCATTTGACCACTAAGGAGAGTCGTTTGCGGTGAGGTATAAGAATCACATGATAAGTTAGAGATATTAGGTAATCCTTGAATAGTTCATTCCACCATTTTTACGATAAGTTATTTCATAAACATGATGAAATAACTTGTTCCCAACCATATAGACAAGAATCAATGGTTTGCCACTTTGGTTTTGTAGTCAAGTAACTTCACAATGAGATTCGAGGCTTTTGATTTGGAAAGAAATCTTTTTCTACCGAAAATACAAAATTAATTGATTGATAAAACAAATATAATTAAGTTACAAAATTGCTAGTATAATTTGAAATTAACTTGAAATTCTTTTCAAAAGTTATTCAGTAAGATAATTAAATAATTAAACGATTGTCTACATTAGAAAATCCTCCATTGGTGGATAATAGCTTTTTTGTCAACCCCAATTCGGGGAGTTAAAAGGCTATTATATGCATTCTGTGGTACTGATAGGCTAAGAATAATTCATTTAAGAGTTTCAAAAACAATTTTTTTTCAATCTGTAGGAAAAAAATGCAAGGCAGAATATGTGGTATTCAAGTCTGCTTTGAACAAGCTAAACTAGCCTCAACTATGCTTTTGATAAAACTAAACTGCTTCAATTGCAGATGATTGGATATACCTAAAATAAACGAACATAACGAAATAAAAGAACATAATGATTGGATATATCTTCGAGCAGGCAATACAACGTTTCACTCTCCCTACAGTTCTATCTTACAGAACATATATGGACAATTGCAAGATCAGAGGAAGTTACAGATTTGCTGTACAAAAGAGCAGCAAGACTGGAAATATTGAGCACTGAACACCTACCTAGCACTGAATCTTCAGCTTTCTGAAGTCGTAGCAAGTGAAAATGACAGCATGTTGGCGAGGACAAGATAACCATAACAATGCTCGCTAAGCTTCTAACCTACTTATGGTATTTATTTTAGTCGGATAAAGGGTTATCAGGGTCAATCTCATCTATTAAAGACCCATGCCTGTCTCTTAAGCTCCCTTCACTGAATTTCTGAGAGCTCCTTTGTTCCAGGTTACTGCTATTGGATAGGTACCTATATCTCGACTCCGAGACAGTTGAATTCCTTCTTGAAATCTGATATTTGTTCCCTTTGCTTGTGAAGTTAGACAAATTGAATGGTTTCTTACAGATACATGTTGACGGAAATTCATGGAAATCTCCACGGCCTGGTCTATTTTCCTCAGGTTCTCCCAAGAAGCCTCTTTGGCATGATTTGACTTTTCTAGAGAATGTGGCCCAATCCATCTTATCCCGTGCCATGAACAATGCACTGAGCCTTTTCGCATTTGGTCTGATCGTCCTCTTGTGCCCCATGTACCTCCTTTGGTGGGAAGAACACAACAATGAGTATCCAAGTGTGAAACAAGATAGAATAGGAACCAAAATGGTTGAAAGCAATGTGTTAAAATGTATGATAGTTCTAAATTGCAGTTCTCTTTTAAACCTATGAAGTCCTGCAAGAATTGTCAGTACATGGGAATCCATTCGAATCCACTTTGGCATATGTATAAAAATCTAAAGAAAATACCAATACATGACAATTTCGGCAGTGTTATAAAAAAAGGGTGTGGTTTCCCAGGAGAAGACAGCCACTTCCATTCTACAGACTTGCAGCATTCATAGAAGTAAGAAGTGTAAAATCGCTAAAAAGGACAGTTAGTAATGCTTACCTTCTACCAGCAAGGATCTTTGCCATGTTCCCGTTATTGTTAGTAGCAAAGACATCACTTTCATCACATACAATGTAGTCAATTGCAGCAAGACGCGAAGAGTAAGGGAGAAAGGGTTGAAGTTCTTCACCAGCAAGCATCTCTTTAGTATAAAAATTTGGGAAAAGCTCTCTTAGAGGCTGCAGAGTTTTCTCTCCACCATATATTTCACCAGATGCAACATAAAGATATGTGTCATTATTGAAGCCAAGAGCCCGCAGCATAAGCCCGATTTCATGAGGTGTTAGTGGGCATTTCCCTCGTGCTCGTTCTTCATCAGGGCTCAACTCCTGAACCAACAAAATGTACAGAAATCCATTTAGGATTTTCTGCTTTAGTATCATCCAAATTTGGGATGGGGTGGTATCAGGCTGAAAAGCACTCATAGTTTCTGAAGAGGATATGATGTAAAGTTTTTACTGAAGACCCAATTTTAACAACATTGCCTAAAATTATCACTTACTTCTTGTGGTGGACATTAGTCTTTTTGTTTTTTTGTTTTTAACTGCGGTGGATATTAATTTTAAAATGAAATAGTGAAGAATTTGTTGCAACTCTGCAGATGATAGATAACTTTCATAGACAGTAATTACTACTTACTACCAGATAAGATAGTATGGAAAGAACGTATGGATGGCCTATTCTCAGTTAAGTTTGCATATGAAGTTGTCTCAAAGTAGACAACAAGAACAAGTATGGCTGTGGAAATTGACATGGAGAAACAGAGCACCTTAACAAAGTAGAGTGCTTCTCATGGCTAGTGGCTAGAGAGGCTGCTTGACCCAACACAGTCTACAAAGAAGAGCTATGACTATTTGCAACAGATGTGTACTGTGAGAAGAAGATTATGAAGTCGTGAAACACTTATTCATCCACTGCAGAATCACAAATCAATTTTGGCACATGTGTTTGAATATGCTTGTAGTTAAATGGCAGATGCCAGAATCTCCTCAAGACCTGCTACTTTGTTGGAATGGAAGAAGACGATAAAAAAATTGTAACGGCTATATGGTGGATTGTGCGGAGGGGTAAATAAAAGATACTTTTAAGGCATAGATGGTACCATGGTGGCCTTGGTCGAGTGGGAGAAATCAAATACTCTGAAGGCAAAAAGGAAATGATTTGAAGATTAAAGCATAGACGTTTAGCTCTCTTAGGATTTTGGTGTAAAATTGAAAATGTACAAGTAGACAGGATGGCTAACTTCCTTAATTGTTTTCACATGTAGCTTGTGTAGTAAAATGCATATTGTTGGCCCGTTGGGGTTGTATTACCTTTCCATTGCTCTCACTGGATGTTATTCTTTAATGAAATTTTCATTACATTTAAAAAAAAATTAAAAATCATTGAAACTCAATTGATCATTGCTTCCCTAGATATTACACTTTATCTATTCAGGCTAACCTCCACAAAAAATAGCATTTCAGAATACTAACCCAAGCAGTGACAGTGCTTAAGAAGAATATGAAAAGGCCGCAGCAAGGAAGTATTGAGTTTACAAGCTTGGCAATAGAATTGCAGCTCTACAAATCCTAGATAGACAGCATAATGTGCATATGCAATAGACACCTAATAGCACAGAAGTGATATCACCTAAATTTGCGTGTAATTAATACAGAGGCATAATTCTTCAGTGATTGAGATCTTACAGGTAAAGTAGCCCATCGTTTTCTTATCTCACCCAGTTCATATCTTTCCTTGTCGCCCCCACCATAGTAGCAGCCAGAGAATGCCAACATATCAGGTTCAAACCTAAAGCACATAATTAAACACAACAGATATGAATAGCCAGTAGAAATCATAAAGTTGAAGGGGTTGGTCTGTATTGGCTAAGGAAGATAAGTATCAAATGGCATCAGTAAGATGTAAAGTTTCTCAAGTCTAAGTTGAAAATTTATGCCACAACTCCCGGCAAAGTAGTAATAAACTCGTGGGCAACCTCACCCACAGCCCCAGAAAACCTCGGAGGTGAGTCTGAGAAGCACTCCGAGCTTTCCAATTTCTAAGCAATTAGTGAATTCACACACTCAAGTACAACCAAGAAAGAAGGTCAACTACAGGTCCCTTCTAATTGAGGGAACATGGATTTACAGCCAATTTAAATTCACTTTCTTTTTTCCCCTTTTGTTATCTTCATTATCATGCTGCGGAGAGAGAACTCCCAACTCCTGAATTGAAGACAAGATCCCTCCTTACAGTACAACAAACTTAAACTGAAGTGCGCGCGAATAGCTCCATTAAAAATTAAACACGCACATGAAAAAGATGATCACGTCAAACTCAAAAGGCCTAGACAGTTGCAACTTCAGTTCTAAGTTTTATTTTCACTAAAACATCGCTTACTTAAATTGCTTAGTGAAAAATTAAGCTAAGAGTATCAGAAGGCATGCACTAAGTCAAACTAACCTCAAGTGAACTGCAATGAAATGTTTTTCCATCTTTCGCATACGGAATACAAGTTTCTGACCAAGATTCCTTATGGGTTTTGTGAATCTTAAGGCATGATAATTCACACGGCAACGCAATTTTTGTAGCTCTTCATCAAGGTCACTAGCAAGTCGATAGTCAAACTTTGTCAGCTGAAGAACCTGCATGCAATTCGGAGCCCAAACATTAACAAAATGTTAATATAGTCATGCACTTCCTGGAATCCTGTTTTACTTTAATAAGACTTGATCAGCGTAGGTGAACTATGATGTTGATGAACAAGAGAAACAAGGAAAGTTCA